GAATGCCTGAAACCATGGACAGTGCTGAAGTCTGTAGATACTACGTTTAGTGAGCTGGTAACTGAGATGTCCATGAAGTGACTGACCCGTGGGTAGTATAGACAGTGTGGATATGTCACACCATGGGCGAGACAAAGCAGGTTGCCATGAAATTTCCTCATACTACTCAGACTGGCGTGTGGTTTCAAGCTTATGAATTGCTTCTGTGGGTAACTGAAACCACCGAGAGGAAAACTACAGATCAGGAAGAACTTCTGTACTTGGGCATCTTGGCACATTGCTATTGGTGATGTTATCCATTAGTTTAATCTTGCAAGCAAATAGCCACCTTCTCCTTTTACTCAGCAGAAGTGCTGAAGGAAATGTTAAGTAAAGTGCCTTGTCATGAGGCTTGGGAAGCTTAAGGGAGTTACTGTCATCAAAGAAAAGGCACGTGGGCAGAGGAGAGGAATGCCCATGTGCTTTGAGGGAGCAGATCTCAATGTGCTTGGGCACATTTTTGTAATAACGAGCCTGGGTCGTCTATGAGTTATTTGTGACCTACAGTTTCTGAGATCTGGCTACCCCTGGCTGGGTCAAAGAGTCACAGTTTCCATAACCCAAGAATGAGTGACTCACTGGGCAAGACCCTTTTTGGAGAACAACTTGTGCCCTAATCAACACTTGTTACCAAAAAAAAAAAAAAAAAAAAAAAAAAAAAAAAAAAAAAGGTGAGAAATCAAGAAGCCTAGCTGCTGTGTGCTGTGATTGGTTATAACCTAGCAACTCTACTGGGACCAGTTGGTGTAATGGCTATGTCACTCACTAATCAAAACTTGTTCCCAAAAAAAAAAAAAAAAAAAGAAGAAGAAGAAAGAAAATAAGGTGAGAAATCAAGTTATTTATTTATTTTTTTTACTTAGATGGGAAAAGGGAGGCAGGGAACTAAAAATCTATCTCCAAACAGCTGTCTCTAAATTGTCATGTTTGGGGATCTCAAATGCCTTAGCAAATGAAATGTTAGAGGCTGGTTATTTTGCACCTTGGGAGTCTTCTCAGTCCATAACAAGCTTTGGTACATGAAAGAGTTAACCACAAACTTACCGCAGAATGTCAGCCTGATTAGAATTAGAGGGTTATCAGATAAGAAAAACAAGGGGGTAGACAAATACTCTTTTTCTTTCTTTGAAATCTAAAAGCAGTTTTCCCTCAAATCTTTGAAGCCAATTTCTTGGGACAGAGTATATTTTTAGTAGAAATATGCTAAATCGGTGAATTCCACCCACACTATTCGGCAAGGAGACAGAGTTTTCTGAGAAATTAGGCCATCGTTGAGATTTTCTAAGGAATAGCAACGGAATTTCCCCTGATAGTTAAAGAAAGACCTGCCACGTTAGACAAAGGAGAATAAGGAGCTTGAGACCAGAAAGGAAACAGAAAAAAAGGAAAAGTAAAAAGTGGGAAATGACGGCGGCCTTTGTAGTGGATAATGATGCCAAGTGTTCCTCAGATCTATGGCTGGCTGGATGTAGGTAAGGGTCAGGTGGACTCCAGCCCCGATGGTGTCAGGTAGGCCTAGTTCACGTGTCCAGAACCAGGCACCCTGGGTCTGGTCCGAGCTACCCAGCAGCCATGCTTGACTCTGCCTGCTGCTCACCCATTTCCTAGGGTGCCTCTTATACCCCCTTCTTTCTTGCTTTCAAGAGTTCACACTCCACCTGAAGCAGGGGACCACTGGACAGTGCACTGTGGACACAGTCAACGTGAGGAATGACTGGTGCAGGAGTTGACAGCATTCTGGCCCAACTGCGTGACGTGCACAGTGTCTGAGGAGACTGGCGCCAGGAGCACGGCTATGCTCCATCAAACACATGGGCTGCTGTGTCTCCCTGAGGGTGAGGCCATGGCACCTTAGAGAAGCCCTGGAGTCATCCGTGCTGTGAAAGGCTTCCAGGCAGTAGCATTTAACCCTACTCTTCCAGGCCACTGAGAGTGACAGTCATATTAGCTGAGACTCTGTTCTTGCCGCATGCCAGTTCCTCCAGTAACTCTCTCACCTTCACAGCTGCTTTCCGTGAGGAGATTCTCATGGATATTAATGATAACAGGTATAATATTGCTGCAGATTATAGCATATCATTATATTGCCTATCATAATTAAAATTTAATTAAGTATATCAATAGATATTAAATAAAATATATGAAAGACGATGTACAATTGATATCATTATTCTACATAATAGTCTATGATAATCTCTATTACAATAAAATAATTAGCTTTTTTTTTTTCCAGGTTTTTGCCATAGGGTACATGCATTTACCAAAGAGAGGCAGAGGAAAAGTGAGAAACTATTCCCTAAAGTGGCTGGCTACACTGCAGTTACTTCTCTTACATTCTCCTCCTGGGATTTTGGGCACACACGCACACATGCTGGCATGATATTCAAGCCACCAGGTCTGAGACTCCCAACAAGTCAACCATGTGGAAATCCAGTGCCTTAACCGCCACGCCATCTGGTGGCCCCTAATGAACTCTATAGATATGTAATAAGTAATTAAGATATGTTATATGATATGGCATACTGCAGTATAATAATGTGATTATGATGTATAAGGAAAATAAATATATAGGGACTTATTAAGATACACCATAAATACTATAGTATAATAATAAGTGTAATTATATAATAATTATTAGATGAATGGTTCTTCTCAGCTCCATTTTATAGATGAAAGAACTAAGACACAGACAGTTTCAGTGGTTTTCTCAGAGCCACACAGCCCATCAATGGTGGAGACAGGTTTTGGACTCAGGCAGCCTGACAAGCACATTCTCTTAGCTGCCATGCATCTGTCACCCTTTATGCACTGGTGGGACCCTGCTCCTGTAGCCACTATGGCCTCTGATCTTCCATTGCTCCTGTCATACAGCTGTCCCACACCACGTGAATGTAAGGATGAGAATGGGGGGAGGTTGGTGATTAGTGAGCAGAAACAGAGGTCACTAATGTTAGGAGATTTTCTTTTTTTGGTAGAGGTTTTTGCATTAGGGCATGTGCACTTGCTGGAGAGAGAGAAAAAAAGAGAGAAAGAGAGAAAGAGAAGAGAGAGATGGTGAGAAGGAAAGTGAGAAATCACACCCCCCCACCCCCCCATGGGATTGGCCATGCCACAATCCCTTCTTCTCCATCCTCCTCCTGGGATCCTTTGTGTGCATGCACATGTACCCGTGTACATTTCAAGCCACCAGGTCCAGGACTCGAACCACGATCAACCATGTGGGAGTCCAGTGATGTAACCACTACACCATCTGCTGCCCTCAGTGTTAGGAGATCTTAAAGGCTGGAATCTCCAGGTATTGGGGCTTGACTGGATATATGGAAGAGTGAAAGGGAAAAAACAAGGATTGTGCCCAGATTTCTTGGGCCACTGGGTGAGTGGTGAGGCAGTCACTGAAATAGGAAATAGAGCAGACAGCAGGGCTAGCTATGCAAGGCCAGAGAGTTCGGGCAAATGAGTATTTCCTTGCCTTCTTGGGCATGTGAACCGCCTCAGCTTCCTCATCTGTAAAATGGGAATGGTGATACTGGTACTCATCCTCTAGGGTTGTTGTGAGGACTCCATGAATAACTGATGCTTGAGGTCTAACTGGCCAGTGCAAGGTCCAGGAGCTGTGGTCACATCCCTCAAGGAGGAGGATAACCCCAGATGACTGGCAGCCCTGGCATGTTCTGGCTCACAGTTCCTCTGCACTGGCCACTGAAAATTGAGACAGAGAAGCAAAACTTGAGAAACTCGGGGAGAGGGAAAGTGAAACTGATGGTCTGGTGCGTAGACGGCTGTGAAAGCCAGGTGTGAAATAAACGACCAGCGACTGACTTTAAGACCGACTTCAAAAGTGAAATGCTTACCTTTGTGGTCCACGTGCCAACTGGGGTCAGCAGGATGTCTGCAGAAACTGCCCCCTTTTTTTTTTTTCTTAAAAAGTCTTCTTGTATTATAATGGTTTGTTTTGCTTCCCACTTAAAATAAGGAGTTTCTCTTGACAAAGGTTCTTTTTGTTCTAAATCAGGTTCTGAGCAGAGGTGTCACTACCACAAGGGCCGGAAGCAGACACCACAGCAGTGCTCAGCTGGGTGGCAGGCCCCACTGAGTTTCATCGGTGGGGAAGCCACCCAAAGCTGCCACAGCCAGTAGATGTCACACATGCAGCCTCGGGTCACAACACCGTCCCCAAAATTCCCAGGAAACTCTCAGGGCACAGGCACGAAGAGGCTGACGTCAACTTACACTTCGGTTATTTAAAACTTTTAGAAATAATTCCAGTGCCCTTTTTTGGTAGCATGATAAGTTGATCTCTCCTGAACGTAAGTCAATTTGCTTTATGGGGTTTATGTCATAGAAATGTACATAGATATGTATACACACATATACATAACATAAATAGATATTTGATTAATTATAAATATACTATAAATAAATATAAATCATTAAGACAACAACAACAACACTCCTGCTTTGCTTTTAAAAATATAATGGGCGGGAAACAGCAGTTAACGTAATGGCTATGTCACTGGATTCCCACGTAGTCGACTGTGGTTCGCATCCTGGACCTGGTGGCTTAGAACTCACACCAGGCGCATGTGCGTGCGTGCCCAAGATCCCGAGAGGAGAATGGAGTGACCATCCCCCCAGGGGGTGATTTCTCTCTTTCTGTCTCTATGTCTCTGTCTGTCTGGCGAGCGTGCACGCCCTATAGCGAAAACCTCTCAAAAAAAAAAAAAATATATATATATACATATAATGGGCCCAGTCACAGTAGTACAGAAAGTAGGGCACTGCTGTGTGATACAGGAGCAATATAGGAAGTCTTGAGGTTCGAATCTTGTGTGGGCCCCGGGCACAATGAACATGCCTGTGATCCTGGCTGGCTAGAGGCTGGAGGGAGAATTGCAACATGGTAAGACTCTGTCAGGGGTAGCTGTCCCTCTCTCAATAAATAAACTTAGGGAAAATAAACCCCACATATTAATGTAAATTGGACTAACGAATTTCTTCCTCCCTTCCTTGGAGAGGTCAAGAATGTTTAGGGGACTGGCTCCATGGCACAAATAATACCTAATCAAGGAAAACTGGATCCCACATGGCAACCTGGTTTGAATTCCCTGGCCTCAGCCCGTTGCATGCCAGGCACACACACAGTGCCTAAGAGCTGATAGGCTGAAGGACTGGAGAAAGCGAATTGTGGTGTGACCAGACCCTGTGCAGAGAGGTCACCTCATCATGAATTAAAAACAAAACAAAACATCTTTAGGATTGAAGAATGGATTCCACTCGGTTGGTCACCCCTGTCTATGTAGATGGTGCTTCTAAATGCTGGGGGTCTGTGAGAACAGGCAAACTATTTGTTGTTCAAGGAATTTAAATACTCCCACCTGACAGGGTCCCACTTTCTCCATAAAGGACTTTCTTATGCAAAAGAAAACTGCACATTATCTGGCCCCACCACGAGATCAGTTATGTTGGAGTTTAGTTAGTTTAGAGATTAATGATGACAAAACAATGCTCTCTGCCCTCCTCTCCATTCTAAATGGTAGCATGAACAAGAGGCAGTTACTGATTTAAGATGTGCTGAGTCTCGCAGGACTATGGGGCATCTGTCCGTGGACTCTGTCGCTATTGTCTCTAAGCCTGTGTCTCAGACCTCAGCTCGCCTTGCCATTGTCAGTGCAGTAAATTTCTCTCCTTCTAGGTGGGGAGCTCCCAGACACCAAGGACTAGGTCTCATTCCTCTCTGTATCTCTAAGCCTATGTCTGACACGTGGTAATTGCTCAATGAATGTTTTCTGAAGGAATGAATAGAAGAATGAACGCACAAATAACCAGGTTCCTGTCACCAGCAGGAGGATGCCCTCGATGTCCCTATTACTAACCTCTGCCACCAGCCCCAATTGCCATGGTTTGTGTCCCTCTCAAAATGCGTGTGTTGAGATTTGGTCATGAAGGTATTCAGAAGAAACTTAGTCCCTTCATGGTGTGGAAAGGTGGCCTTTGGGAGTGATTAAGTGACAAGGGTGGGACCCTATGACTGACTCCTGATGGGTTTATAAAGAGAAGGACAAAGATGAGAACAGAGGCCTGCATGGACACGGGGGTGCACTCCTGCTCTTCCACAACATGACATGCTGTATGGCCTCAGGGCCCCGCCACAGGAAAACCCACACCAGGTGGGGTCCCTGGGTTTAGGATCTCTAAACAATGAGCTGAAGAAGCTCTATTTTTACAAATCACCCAGTTTCAGGTATTGTCTGGTATTAGCAACAGACCAGACTAGAACAGCACTCCTGCTGCAGGAACTTTTTCTCTCTGAAAAACTTCATAGAAGAGAAAACTCCCACCAATACACCTCACAGGCACACACCTATCCCTGCCTTTGTTTTTTATTGCTGAGGGCACAGAAAGCAGAGGGGTTCTGAAGGAAGTGTCTATTTTGGTCCCAAGCAGAAAGGAGTGGGTGATTCCGTGGGCAGAGGTGGCAATTCCTGAACACGGTATGGTGACTCACCCCAGAGGTGCTCAGAATTTCCTGTTTTGTGGCAGCTGGGACAAAGTCAACTGCGATGCTTTCTTTGAAGCACAGTAAAATGCAAGAAAAACACTCCAGCTGTTCATCAGGTGTAGAAGGAGGCTAGAGAGGACCCAGAGATCTAGAGAACCCAGACTTACTTAGCCTTTGTAAGCCTCAGTTCGACAGGTATACAAAAACAGGAATAAGACATGCTTTATTTTGAGAATTGAAATAATTCCATTTTTTAACATGATACCTGAAAGATAGCATACAGACAATTTTTTGAAGATCTTTTGCCACAGGGTGTGTGTGTTCGCTGGAGAGAGAGAGACAGAGAGAGAGAAACTGAGAAATCACTCCTACACAGAGGATGGCCATGCCACAATCCCTTCTCCTCCACACTCCTTCTGGGATTTTTGGCTTGCACATATACGCTCCCAGTGTGATTTTCAAATCACTGGATCTGAGACTTGAACCACAGTTGGCCATGTGGGAATCCAGTGCTTTAAACACTACACCACCTGCTGGCCCAACAGGCAATGAATATTAGCACTTGTTATTTTCCTTAATGTTTAAAATGTTTCCTGAATAAAGCATAAAGTAAATAAGCCTCAAATGAAAAATGGGTATTTGGTGTCGGTTTTGGTACATGGGCTTGCCTTAACCACTGTCTGTTTTTTGATATCCAGTTTTGTTCACCTACTGATCTTTCTCTGTTGCTATAGATTAGAGCTTTTCAGAGTCTTTCTATTTTCCGAAGAGTAAAGGAACCACTTACATCCTTGTCATTCTTTCTTTTTTTTTTAAAGAGAAACTTTTGCTATAGGTCTCATGCCCTCGCCAGAGAGACAGAAAGAGAGAAATCTCCCTCCAGGGGGATGGCCACACCACAATCCCTTCTCCTCCATTCTCCACTCAGGATTTTGGGCATGCATACACATGCGCCCAGCATGAGTTTCAAGCCGCTGGGTCCGGGACTCGAACTCGGTCAACTATGTGGGAGTCCAACACGTAACCATTATGCCATCTGCTGGTCCCGTAATTTTCCTTTTATTTTTCTTCTTTTGGGAAAAACGACTCAATTGCAGGTAATTAAATCACTTCAGTGATTTTTTTTTTCTTTGTCTAGCATGAGGGGAGAAACCTTGGAAAAGAAGAGAAAGCAGGCCAGCAAGCACATCTGACCATACCTTCTACCACAAGGCAGTCCCATCTGGTGACCCAGGAAGTGAACAATTCTGATCAGTATCTTACCCCCTTCCCCTCCTTCTGCTCATCTTCCTCCAAGCATGATGATCTGGTCAGCCACCACCCGTGCCACCACACTTTGGTGCTTTAGTTTTCTGCTACTTGAAACCCTCCTGCCTGCAGGATGCTTGGTCCTAGATCTCAGTCTGCTGCAGGCAGAAGGGGCTGGTGATGTGGGGGCACAGGAGTGGGCTAACTGGATAGAAGGTCTGAGACTGTAGCCTTGTGGCATTCAGGTGGCTGGGGCTGGGTTAGGGGCAAACGTTGCATATAGGGAAGCAAGATCCAGGATTTCTTTGCATATTATCCAAGGGCGTCATGTGGTAGTGGTGGTGCTGACCAATAATTTGTCAGGCCAAGAAAATCTATGAGAGACCAGTGACATCTATAGACACTGAACAATTAAAACGAGGTGAGGAGCTCTCCAATTCTTTTTGTTTGAACAAAAGTATTAGTTTTCATCAGAAAATCACTACTCACTTGAGCCTCATTTTGCTAAGCACATATCCCTCCCCCCTGAAAAAAAAGTTTGTATAGTTGACCCTTGGTATCTGCAGATACTGCATTTGCAGAGTCGATCAAGTGCAGAAACATTCAGAAAACAAGGCCAGTTTTAGGGTACAGTGATAATGTGCTGCTCAAGAGAAGCCGGATTCCACATGGCAACCATGGTCCAAACCCCTAGCCTGGTAAGCCAGAAACACGCTGGGCACGTACATGAGTGTTCAAGAGCTGATGGGCGGGAGGACTGGAGGAAGGGAATCGCAGCATGACCAGACTCTGTGGAGGGTACTCATCTCTTTCACTCTCACATGTGCATGTACACAATCTATCATGAACAAAGAAAGAGATACTATAATAGCAAAAAGTAATATGGATTTTAAAACAATATGAAATAACTATCTACATAGCATTTGCATTGTACTAGGTGTTAAAAATAATCTAGAGACGATGTGAAGTATACAAGAGGATTGTATAGGTTACATGCAAATTCTATATCATTTTATACAAGGGACATAGACAACCTTGAATTTTGGTATCCTTGAAGGGTTCCAGGACCAATTCCCTGTAGATACCAAGGGACAGCTGTATATATGAAATATGGTTAATTTATTTAGTTATCCAGGTAATTCTTCAGTCTCCAGTTTGTTCTTTGCGGAGCATGATTCACGTATACAACTTTTGCAAAGTCATTAAGACATACTGTCCTCCAAACCATCCCCTGATATTTAGAAGCACCATTTAGAACCAGTATGTCCCAGGGCTACCTTCTCTAAGAAGCTGCTTCTAATTCCTTAGGTAGTGTAGTACTCTCTCTATTCCAATCACCTATCTCATTCGTCAGCTTTGCTATAAATACTTTGCAATATCTGATTAATATTTGATCTTTCTCACATTGGTTTTCTCATTTTTAACTGCAAGTTCTCTGTGGGTAGAAGCAACAAATATTTCTTTCCTCACATCATAGTCTCACTACTCAAGGCAAGGTCAATGCGACAACCACCCTAGCCTCACAGTGAAACCTGCTGGAATCAGAATCTCAGATGTCAATGTCAGACCTCCTGAATCGGGACCCATGTGCAATGAGATTCCCCAGGTG